AACCCTCTGCTGCTTACAAGCTATATGACATTAAAACTCAGTTTCCTTATCTGTGAAATGACATAAGTAAAAAGTTGTGTCTATGTCAAGGGTCGCTGTGAAGATGAGAGGTGCTATTTTATGAGGCATGGAGAGAAGGACCAAGTGTTCCCTGGTATCATTGTCATCATCATCAGACACAAATTGTTCTGTGAATATCAGGAAGGACACACTAAGCTCAGGCTTCAGATCAGTTCCAGAAGGAGGAAGGCTGGTGGGCATGAGGGGGGTGTGGCTGGTACGGGAGGCAGTGAGAGAGGAGGGCATGCCAGACGACCAGAGGGCTCTGCCAGGGTTGGGTGAGGGAGACTGGACAGGAAAGTGGTGGCCTGGGAGTGATGGGGAGCCACAGAAGGTACGCGGAAGACATGCGGGGCTCCTCACTCCAGGTGGGCAGGGCTGGCATGTCTCACGTACACCTGCGGGCCGACTCCTGGGCCAGCTGCAGCCAGTAGATGGAGAGGCGGTTGGCGCCGCCGCACGTGCTGCCCTGTTCGCCCTTGCACTCCATGTCGAACTCCGCCTCACTCACGTTTGCTGCCTGGATCTTGTGGCTGCAGTAGCACTCGGCACCGAACTCCAGCCCGGCATACAGGTAACCCCTGGGGAAGGCTGTTGTCAAGCGGGGTAGCGACCACCATGGAGACTCCAAGGACAGAGAGGTACAATGTGGAGAATGGGGGTGGGGTGCAGTAGGAGGGCCCTGGGGACCAGGAGGTCCTGGGGGGAAGGGGAGACCCTGGGGACAAGAGACCCATCCATATGATGACCTGGGGGTAGAAGGGCCCTAGGGACTAGGACGTCCCAGGGGGACAGGAGACCCAACCGGGTAGAGACCTGGAGGAGGGAAGGCCCTGGGAACTAGGGCCCTGGGAACTAGGAGGTCTCAGGGAGATGGGGAGACCCAGGGATAGGAGACCCATCCACATGGAGACCTGGCAGACACAGGCCTTCAAGAGATGGGAGGCCCCAAGGAAATTAGGAGAGGGTGTGGGACACAGAAAGACCTGGAATGGGGACAGGAGAGAGGGGGGCAGGGAGACTAGGAGATCTGGGGACAGGCACTCTCCAAGGGATGAGGATCTGGACTGGGGAAGCGGAGACCCCAAGAGGATTCAGGACAGAGAGAATACAAAAAAGCCGGGATGAATACAGAGAGGCTCAGGGAAGAGACAGGGACTACCCACCTGCCTTCATCTCCACCCTCATACGCCTGCCCCCCCACACCACATTCGTACTCACTCTCAGCTGTGCACACCTCTCGTGGTACACACACACCCTACCCTGATCCTGCTGTCCCTGCTCTGCCTTATCCTCCTCCCCGTCTGGAGACATGAGACACCCATCTCTCCAGAGGTCAGCCCCTTTGTTTCGGGAAACATCACCCAGAGATGATGCCTCTGTGTCCCTTAAGAGGAGCTTGGGCAAGGGTGGGAGGTGTGGGGAGCTGAGGAGGAGGTAGGGACTCTCATATCCCTCTGGGAGAGGACAAAAACGAGCTCGCATGTCCAGCCAAGGACAAAATTCCTTCCCCTGAAATAAAAAATCCAGGCACTGTAAAGTTTTCAACTTTTTTTTTTCCCACAGCAATGGAATCCTTTCCTAAAAATGACTCTTAGTGGATGCCCCAGTCTGTAAACAAATGAAAGGGCATTGCTTGTCCTGGCTCTGGGGGTAGGATGGTCCCTACTCCCCTCCTCCACACTCCCGGCCCCTCTGCTCACGGTGGGCTCTGCGGCGTTCTCCAGAACCACAAGATACCTCAGGGAGCAGCCTACAAAACACTGGCCATGCCGGGCATCCCCCATGGGACCTGCCAGCTCTTCTCTTACTCTGGATTGTGTGGTGCCTGCTGGAGAGACAGACCTGCCAGGATCATGCCTGTGCACGCCTGGCAACACTGCCCCATCCACCTGCTCACCTGGCATATAGGACCAAAGCAACTTTGGCCAGCTAAGCGTCTCAGTGCCCAACCCCCAGCAAAGTCCCCCCATCAATCTGTCCCAGTCTCCCTATCCCAAGCCCTGTTTCTAGGACGTCTCTGGTGCCCCTCTCCTATGCTAGGACCCACGGATAGAAGCTGCCGTCCCTCAAAAAAGGGCCCAGCAGGTGTTGTCAGCTTCAAAGCAAGAGGAACCCAATTACTCAGAGGCAGAAAGGACAAAATCTCAGATGGAGGAGGACAGGGGCTCAGGGAGACCCATGCAGGAGAGAGGGCAACAGCTGCTGCCCCGGAGAAAGAACAAGATATGCTGGGTCTGGAGGCATGGGGCTTTAATTGAAGCCTAAACTCACCATCATGCAGTATACCCATATAGCAACCTGTGGCATGTATCCTTGAATCTAATTTGTTTTTTAAAAAGGCCAAGCGCAGTGGCTTATGCCTGTAATCCCAGCACTCTGGGAGGCCAAGGTGGGAGGATCGCTTGAACCCAGGGGTTTGAGACCAGCCTGGGCAATATAGCAAGGCCTTGTCTCCACAAAATAAAAATAAAAAAGTAGCCAGGTGTGGTGGCATGCATCTGTAATCCCAGCACTTTTGGAGGACAAGGTCTGCTTGAGCCCAGGAGTTCAAGACCAGCATGGGCAACACAGTGAGACCTCATCTCTACAAAAATAAATCAAAAAACTAGCTGGGTGTGGTGGTGCACACCCAGCTATTCCAGAGGGTAAAGTGGGAGGATCACCTAAACCCAGGAGGTCAAGGCTGCAGTGAGCTGTGATTGTACCACTTCACTTCAGCCTAGGTGACAGGGTGAGATCCCAACTCCAAATAATAATAATAATAACAATAAATATATGTGTGTGTGTATATATATAGATATATATGTGCATCTACAAATTCCTGGACACTCTGTTCTTTAAGGCACAGAATTTAATTCACCTCCCCTTGAGTGTGGGCTGACTTAGTGACTCATTTCTAGTGAGTAGAAGATGGTGAAAGAGACAGTATGGGTCTGCCAAAGCCACATTGCACCATGCTTTGCAGCTTCCTCCTTGCACTCTCCTGTGGATGGCTCGCTCTGGGGGAAGCCGGCTGCCATGTTGTGAGGACACCCAAGCTGCCCCATGGAAAGGCCAATGTGGTGAGGACCTGAGGCCTCCAACCAACAGCCATGTGGTTGTTACAGCAGCCCAAATAGACCAAGACACCCACCATCCTTCCCTCAGCCGATTCTGCCTCAGTCATGGGCTCTTTGATCTTTGAAATCATCCCTGCTTCAAGTTCTTTGTCCTTGCCGTTCCTCTGCCCAGAACACTTACTCAGCTCCTCCTGTGCTTACTCTTTGACACACCCTCCCACAGCAAGGCACAGAATACTACAGACAGGAACCTGGAAAGGAAGAATCTGAAATGAACGTGCTTGAGATCACGGGGCCCTACCGTTCAGCGCAGTTGTCCTGGCAACGGAAGATGGTCATCTTTTTGTAGTCGAAAAAGGACACTCCTCGAAGGGCCCGGCTCTGTGTGTCATCCAGGTAGCAGTCAATGTACTTGGCTTTGGGGAAAGCAAAAAATCAGATGTGGCTGGGGACAAAGCTGAAAGGATTATGGGAGGAAGCTTCACCAGTGTGTCTCTGGTCTTATGTGGCCTTGTCGTTCATGTGGCGCTGTTGGCCTTTTGGTATCAATTCCTTCCTCTGGACAGACATAAGGGAGACTGAGAGTCATGTGCCTTGTTAGAACCTGGTCTAGTGAGGACAGTGCAGGCCAACAGAGTGAGGACAGAACCCTTCTGTGGGCAGGGCCACAAACAAGCCCTTGGCATGTCCTGGAGACTCCTGGGCACCCGGGAACCCAAGCCAAGGCCATTCCCAAGCGCCCAACAGAACTTCCTGTTTCCTGCAGGATGAGACCCATGTTAAAACAGCTCTAAAGGGCTTGACACTAGATGTGTGACTATTTCTACAAGCTAACTTAAGAGATTTGCTTCTCTGGACTTGGGGATCTCAAGGTCTAGGTCCTCATTCTCCAGTTACTTCCTAGTATGGGCCTAGTAAGTTTAGACCCAGTTTTCTTTGTAGCAGGGATAAAAATGTCAATCCAGTGAGCTTAAAATAAGAATGATTTGTGTAAAGTATTCTATTATACTATCCGGCATATAATAGGTACCAAATTAAGGTGAGTAGAAAAAGAGACTATCCATTTACAATGCTTTTGGAAAAGCATCTTTTCCCATAAGTTCTTAAAATTATTATTTGGACATGCATTTTGGTAAGTGCTTTATGTATACTGTCTTTTTGGATCCTTATGACTCTAGGAGAATATTATTCTCATTTTCTACAGAGGAAGAAACACCCAGAGAAGTTAAGTCACTTGCTCAAGGTAACACAGCCGAGACATTGAGACATGTGGAGTCAGAATGGAAACCGAGCAACCCAGCTCCAGGGCCTCTGTTCTGAGTTTCTGGCTTCTCGAATCAGGGGATCTTTGCTGTTGCCCTGTGTGAAGTGGAAGCACTGACGTTCTCATGCCCTTTTCTTAGGTGACTCAACAGAGGCTCAAGCAGGTGAAGCAGCCTCCCTACAGTCCGAATCACAGAACAAAGATTCAAATCCAGGTCTATGGGACCCCCAAGCCAGAAACTGGAGGTTGGACCAAGGATGCAGCCAGAAAATGAGGGAGGGAAATGCTGAGTGCCCCTGAACTAGCTTCCTGGCTAGGCTGCTGCCTGCACTGTGGACTTCTTCCCTGCCTGCTTACAGTACAGGGCAGGAGCTCTCAGGGGGCGCAGGCTCATAGCCAAGCCATGGTGTCCCTTGACATGCTGCTGGAGATGTGTCTTGATCTAACCACCTTGAACTTCTTTCATAAGACAGAGGTGATGTGCTGGACTGAGAACAGTTCATTTTTAAAAGAAACATCGCCTCCCCAAAGCAGGAACCGACGGTGATGGCTGCATCTTGTCTTTGTGCTTGTTCAATGGTGGGGTCCCTCCCATTACAGATGCAGCCATGGCCCCTCGACTCCAGGCATGGAGGCTGTGTACCTGAGTCAGGGGAGAGTGCTCCATGGCCATGTGTGCGGAGGGGGCTTCAACTAGCTCAGTTCGGTAGTTCCCTAGAGGACTGAGCGTCCCAGGGTGCATTGCAGGATGGGCAAGAGAACAAAGAGGGAGCTGGAGGGGGGGAGAGAAGGAAGGAGGCAGGAAGGAGATGGAAGGGATAGAGATGGGAGAAGGCTGGCTTATTTTGGTAGTGTGAGTCCTTGTCATCAGCTCAATAGATTGTGTCTGCATGTGTGTATGTGGAGAGAGAGAAACAGGGAGAGAGGGAGGAAGGAAAAGGGACAGAGATGACAAAATGATCATGTATTGAACACCTACTATGTGCTACCTACTTGACTACATGTCATGGCTCATTTTTCTAAACCCAGTCTTCACCAGCTTCCTATGGACCCATTTTATAGATGAGGAAACTGGTCACAGTGTGCTTATATATCTGTCTACCTTAGAAGTGAATTTTATTTCAGCAATATGGTATATGTTCTGACTGGCAACTAGCCATGCCACTTCTGTTTTTCCTCTTGTCAAAATGGAATTGGGAGCTGTGTCACCAGCCCAAGTTCCCACAGCATGTAGCATCTCACTTCAAATTCAAGACAAGATCTATCCTCCAAGCCTTTCACACTTGGGAAGGCTTACCTCCTTCTGGCCCATGGCTTCTATGAAGGGGCTTTCCTGAAAGGGACAGATGCTCGTGCCCCAGATATGTTGGCCTTGGGGTTAGGTGTAATATAATCTTAGGTGGTTCCACCTTCAGGTGAAGGTAGACAAATCTGGCTACATGTGGTACAGTGGAGCATGTTAGATATGATTTTTTTTTTGAGCTGGAGTCTCACTCCATTGCCCAGGCTAGAGTGCCGTGGCACACTCACGGCCACCACAGCCTTGACCTGCTGGGCTTAGGCAGTCCTTCCACCTCAGTCTTCCAAGTAGCTGGAACTACAGGTGTGTGCTACCACGCCTGGCTAGTTTTTTGATTTATTGTAGAGATGAGGTCTCATCAAGTTGCCCAAGCTGTTCTTGAACCTGTGGGCTCAGGCAATCCTCTCACCTCAGCCTTCCAAAGTGCTGAGATTATAGGCTTGAGCCACCATACCCAGCCAGAAATGATTTTTATAATCAAGTTAATGGTAATAAAAGTATAGTTTGCAGGCTCATGTGTGTGTCCCTTGTGGAGTGAGGGGTGGATTGCAATGGATGCTGTCATTCCTTCAAAGCATGCACACTATGTAGGTTTGCTATCAGAAGACCTCACCTGCCTTGACCACAGAGGACACACTGACCTTGGCAGGGTGAGTCAGGGTCCATCCTCCCAGTCAGTGACTGCTTCAAGGAAGGACCCAGGGCCTCTGTGTTGTATTCTGATAGATTAAAGCTGGGAGAAGGAAATATGCCTCTTGGTCAGGCACAGTGGCTCTCACTTGTAATCCCAGCACTTTGGGAGGCCAAGGCAGGAGAATTGCTTGAGCCCAGGAGTTGAAGATTGCTTGAGGTCAGGAGTTTGAGACCAGCTTGGGCAACACAGCAAGACCCTGTCTCTATAAAAAAAAAAAACCAAAAAAACTGGCCAAGCGTGATGGTGCATGCCTATAAGTCTCAGCTACTTGGGAGGCTGAAGCAGGCAGATTGCTTGAGCTCAGGAGTTTAAGCCTGCAATGAGCCATGATTGCATTATTGTACTCCAGCCTAGGTGACAGTGAGACTCTGTCTCAAAAAATAAATAGGTAAGTAAATACCCAGTCCAGCAGAGCCACTTCTGCAGTTTGATGACATGATACCACGCATGTTCTTCTTCAGCTTATGCTGGTTCAGGTTGGGATTTTGTCCCTTGCCGCCAGGGGAGCACGGACTAACATGCTAATACTAAGCTAAGTTTCTTGCCTGGGTCCAGTGAGCAGTGAGGGTCTAGACCCAATCCAGACCTGTCTGTCAAAGCTGTCCCTTTCCATGCAGCACACTGGGTCCAGGCTTAGGGAGGGGATCTCCAATCTCCATCCTCCCCAGAGGGACCTGCCCAAGAGGAGGAGGGGAGAGGGAGCATTCCTTGGGAGAAGAGCTGGGGACTAGGATTTGACCACAGGTTCATCTTCCCCAAGACCTGGGCATCTTTTTATTTATTTAGTCAGGGTCTCGCTCTGTCACCCAGGCTGGAGTGCAGTGGCATGATCACAGCTCACCAAAGCCTCGATTTTCTGGGCTCAGGCAATCCTTTCACCTCAGCCTCCCAAGTAGCTGGGACTACAGACACTGGCCACCATGTCTGGCTCATGTTTTGACATTTTGTAAAGATAAGGTTTTTCTATGTTGCCCAGGCTGGTCTTGGACCCCTGGGTCAAGCAATTCTCCCACCTCAGCCTCCCAAAGTGCTGGGATTACAGGTGTGAGCCACTGCACCTGGCCTAAGCCTAGGCTTTTAAATGCCACTCTGTCCCCTTCCTCACCCTCCTGTCAGACCAGGCATAAGGTTGAGATATACCATTCAACAGGTGCTTGAAGACTTGTGCAGTGAACAAGTGACCCTCTGTTTCCTTGACTGTCAACAGGAGAGAAGATGCACGCACTTCATGCCTGCTTTCTGAGCGAGCATGGGCTGAGCTCCAGGGATCAGGATACGAATACTGAGGAGGGGTTGGTTTCCTCCCTGTCCTGGGCAAGATCTGGTGACCATCCCCATGATCTTCGGGGTGGGCTGCACCCAACACAACCATCATCCCTGTTCCTGGAGTTTGAGCACTCCATGAGCTTATCTGTAGTCACCACGGCCCACCAACATCCTCTCCAGCTGTTCCTTGGGGCCCCACCTTTGAATCCTGCTGTGCCATCAGAATCTCTCAGAGGCGGGAAGTCAGGTATGCAAAACAGGAACAGAACCACAGGCCATGGGAGGGTGGATTAATGGCAGGGCTTGCACAATCCTTCAGCACATCTCTGCCACGACCTAAAGATTGCTGAAGGGTCAAAGTCACCCCTGCACTGTTTATCTCCAGTCCAGAAACCAGCATCTGAAAAGAGGCTACCTGGTGGTGGCATTTTTTTCTTACCTTTTTTTCCTTTGGCCCCAATTAATCTTTTCAAGAAATTTTGCTATCTATGACACAGGTGATTTAAGAGGGTAGCTGAATGCAAACCAATCTGTATGCCTTTGATTTATTGTTTGTGAGTAGTCCTCCACACAGGAGGCCTCATGCTGTACTGGAGTCAACCAGATCTGAGTTCGAGTCCTGGGTATGATGCTGCAATAGCCTCGAAACACTACTCCATCCCTCGGGAGAAGTGGGAACAAAAATTCTGCTAGGAGTGTTTCAATTGAATTGTGTACTACGCCCCACCCCATGACCAAGTTGAAGTCCTAAGTCCTAATACCTTAGAATGAGGCCTCACTTGGGGATAGAGTCCCTGCAGATGTAAATCAGTTCCGAGGCTAACCTGGAGGAGGATATATGACTGGTGTCCTTATAAGAAGGTGGTCATGCCAGGCTCACACCTGTAATCCCTGCCTGAGTGCAGCCCCTCTTCTCCCGCTCCTGGCCTGTGATGGGCTCTGAATCTCTGCAGCTGAAGTCCGTGTCACTGCTTTGGGCAGTGCCCCCGCTGGCTTCTGAGAAAACCAGATGAGTTTAGCGTCAGGTCAGAGAAGCCTCTCCTTTTTTATTAGCATGAATCTCACATGTTGTCTTTCCTTGCTGAACTCTGGATAAGTTAATCAGGGACAGGCTTGATTCATGTTTTCTTAATAACACTGCGTGATTCCACAGGCTGCCGGCTAAGAGCCCCAGACTCACAGCTGCTTTCTTATTTTCTCTTTCTTCTCTCTTTGCATTTTGTAAAATATATAAGATTGCTGGGTTGGGTGTGGTATTAGCATGGAATAGAAGAATGCTCACAAGCTTTGGAACTAAACAGACCTTTTTAAAACCTCAGTTCCTCTGCGGGTATCCTGGGATAAGTGATTTCTCCGAGGCTCAGTTTTATCATCTGTGAAATGGGGTAATGATTGTCTCCAGCTTACTGAGTTGTGGTAATTAAATAAAGCAATGAAATCCTTATAACATGGTCTAGCCCATAATGCTTCTTCAGTAGATGCTAGCTAGCTCTTGTGACTACTACTACTACTGATAGCAACTATTCAGTGACCTATTATCGGGGACAAGGAGATGTGATGAACATTTGACAGATATCATTTTGTTCCAATAATATATGAAAATCAAAGAGACGGTGGCCGGTGTGCAGTTGGTGCTCAATAAATGGTAATAACTATGGTTAGTGGCAGTGGTCACTGTGTTTCATTCTCACAAGATGGATGTTTTTGGTGTATCAAGTGTGCCCCAAGGAGCTCGTGTCCTACCAGGGTCCTGGGCAAGCACAGGTGTCGCCACTTACACCAGGGCTGTTCTAGGGAACACAGAGGAGGAGGGTCTGATCCAGGCCCAGGGGATCAGGGCAATTTCCTGGAGGTGAGCAAAGCTGAGACATGGAAGAAGAGTAGAGTTCATCCCATGGAGGTGCCCCAGACTGAGGGGCAGTCCTTCCTTCCTTCATTCATTCATTCATTCATTCATTCCACAAGTAGCTATTGAGTGCCAGCTTTGTGCTAGACACTGTCCTGTCCCTGGTGCTGATGGAACAGAAACAAGACACAGGTGACAGTCCTATCTTCCTGGAGCCTACAGTCTAGCAGGGAGACCGACTATAAACACTGAGTCAAATGCGTGAACAAGAGGCTTTCAGATGGTGATAAGTGCTGTGACAAAGATAAAGCTGTAGGATGCAGTTGTGACGGGTAGAAGGCGGGGCCACCTGAGTTAGTACACTCTGGGAAAGTAAGGTTTGGTGGAGACTCAAAGGGAAGAAGGGAGCCATGCAAAGGTCTGGGGAGAGAGCATCCCCAATGGAAGGGACTACATCTACAGAGATCCTGAGGTAGGAATGTGTTTGGTGTGGTCAAAGAACAGCAAGAAAGACAGCAGGGCAGAGCATGGTTAGGGGGTGAGGGATATTACAAGAGGAGCCTGGAGAGGTGGGCGGTGGGATGAGTCTGGAATTTATCCTAAGAGTGATGGGGTGTATAGCCCAAGGGGAAGGCTTGTGAGAACTGGGGTGTTCAAAGGCCCAGATGGAGTTTGCAGTGCAGACAAAATGGAGCTGGACGAGTGGAGACGGCGGAGAGAAGCCACATCACGGTTTCAGCATCACGCAAGCCCTCTCACCTCTGCCCCCAAGACGGGACCCTTCCCCAGCGAGCTCCCAGCAGCACCTCCTGAATGCCCTAAGCACCTGCCCGTGCCAGGCGTTGTGTTGGTGCCTTAGTGGCCGTTGTCTCATTGAACTCTCAGAGCATCCTGGAAGGAAGAGCTTATTGTCCCACTTTACAGATTTCAAAGCTGAGGCATGAGGAGGTGAAGCCATTTGCCTGGGCCACACGGCTGGCTGGGTGCAGCTGGAATGTGACTCCCAGTTCCCGCTCCATTCTGCCACCTCCACTGTCTCCTTCATCTTCCTCTGGACACGAAGTTTTTAGAGAGGAAGACGTCTAGGAAATTCCCACGGGTGGGATGGTAGGGTCTTCTGGACGGTTGCTAGGCCAGGTCGGGGAGCGACTGGGCAGAGGAATGTTCTCCCAGACCGTCCCCTCCTTCTCTTCCTCCTCTCTGTCTCCTCCTTCCCTCCGTGGTGGGAGATGAGGTTTTCTGCACATTGGATCACGGTGCAGCCCAGAGACGAGTGAGGCGTCCCTCTGCCTCGACGGGCAGCTCGTTCTCCCAACCTACCTGGCCCAGACTTCTAGAATGTTCACTTCCATTCATCTCATGACTTGCAGGGCTGTGGGCTCCTCCTGGGCATGCTGGTCAGATGCCAGTGGACTCTGGGGGATGGTCCTTGAGTGCCACGCATCCAGGCCAGATGGGTCCAGTGTAAGCTCCAGCCTGCCACGGGCCGGCCTGCACAGCCTTGAGCAGTCTTTCCCTCCTCAAGCCTGTTTCCATGTCTATTAACTGGGCCTCAGGATCGCAGGGGCCTTGTTCAAGCCCACAGAGTGCAGTAGAAATCAAATGAGGTAATGCACTCGCAAAGAAAAGCCATTTCTGCCTGTAAAAGGCTGAGGAAATGTGTCCAGGGCATTGATGTCCCCTGAGATCCCTCAACAAGGGGCCCGGCACGGTGACCAAGAGGCAGTTTTGTGGAGGAGAAGTGCTGCCACTTAGTAGCTGTGTAATCTTGTGCTCTGGTGCTTCAGTTTCCTCATCTTTAAAATGGGAATCATAGCCGGGTTCGGTGGCTCAGCTTGTAATCCTGCGCTTTGGGAGACAGAGGTGAGTGGATTGCCTGAGCCTGCGGGTTCGAGACCCGCCTGGGCAACTTGGTGAGACCTCATCTCTACAATAAATTAAAAAATTAGCCGGGTGTGGTAGTGCATGCCTGTAATTCCAGCTACTTGGAAGGCTGAGGTGGAAGCATCCCTGGAGCCCAGCAGGTCGAGGCTGTGGTGGCCGGGAGCGGCCACTGCACTCCAGTCTGGGCGACAGAGTGAGACTCCAACTCAAAAAAAAAATTAAATTAAATGGGAATCATAACACCTACTATATAGAGTTGCAGTAGTATTTCTATATATGTAAAGTGCTTCAAACAGTACTTGTGTGCAGCAAGTACTCAAAACATGTCAGCTGTTTTAATTTTCCCATATACACAACAGGAACTGACAGATGTTGCAGGGAAAGGTCAGACTTTGACCTCTGATACATGTGGCCTTCAATTCCACACTCACCAGCTGACAAGCGGTGTGACCTTGGGCAAGCTCCTCGGTTTCTCTGAGCTTCAGCTTTCTCCTCTGTGCAGTGGGGATGACCATGAACCCTGCCGTCTATAACTACATTACCGTTTCCCCTATTACATGTTGACGGCAGACAGGGCTGTGAACCTGTTCCTGCCCCTCCCCTCTCCTTGCCCCGCTCCGGGGCCAGGCGTCCCGCTCTTACCTCGCTCTTCCTCCTTCTCGCGGACGACCCTCCCCTTGAGGGCCCGGCTCCAGGCTCCACCGTAGTCACCCAGCTTGGCTCTCTCGCTCCCGTCTTTGCCCTTGAGCCAGGGCCCGTACCTGCGGGCGATGCTCGCAGCCTCGCCTGCGTCCCGGAAGCCTCTGCCCAGGTGCATGTCGCCCAAGAAGGGCAGCTCGGCACCCTCCACCGGGCCTCCTGCGACGGGGTTGGCCTGGTTCTCGGAGACCGCCGGCTGGCCCACAAAGCCAGAGTGCAGGAGGACAAGGCTCCCAGCGGTCAGGTAGAGTGCCAAGAAGGTGAAGAAGCGGACGGGTTTCCTGCGGAAGTACCGCTGGAATTTGAACCACAGCTTGGCCATAGCGGGGTCATTCCGGACTGGCTCGCCGAGGCTTGGCTGGGGAGGTTGGGAGGGGATGGAGGGAGCTTGGTTCCTGAGCTCCCCTTAGGGATGGAGTCCCCGGGGGTTCTCCGTCTTCTTCCCTCTGCAAAGGGGCTCGCTGAGGACAAAGAGGGAGGGTAGGTCCAGTGCCTTGCTGAGGCCAAGAGAAAGGGGGACAGAGCTCGCCGGCCCTCCCGAAGTCAAGGGGAGTTTCTTTGGACCACGAAAGGGGTTTGGAGGACACACAAGAGTGGGTCCCATCTTCCTACATCTTTTTCTTCACTTCAGAGTGTTTGGCAATAGCAATCAGGAGGATTCCAAGGGTCACAGCAGCTGCAGTTCATGCCTTGCCCTTTCTTGACCCTTCAGGAGCTTGGTTATTTCCCCCAGGATCTCATTTCTGGCCTCCTCCCCAGCTGGGGACCGAACTCGGCCCGTCTGCCTTGTAGGAACAGAAGCCGGGGGGCCGCCATCCGGGCAGGCATCAGGCCTCAGGGCCACCACCTGCAAACAGCAGAGACACGGTGTGAGAAGCCACCTCACCCAAGCACAGACGTCACATTCTCAAGGGGGAATGCAGAGGCCCAGAGAGGAGAGGAACCCACCGACAGCATGGAGCACCTCGAGAGCAGTGCTGGACAGAAGCCAGGACTGCCTCTTCCAGGACGCTGACTTTTTCTTTAAACCAACCTGAGAATTTAGGGGCTTGAATTCTACTGGGCTCTAGTTTGGGGACAAACTTTACCCCACCTTGGGCAAGCATGGGTTCTTATGGGCTGGTGATGTACAGAGGAGGACTCCCAGAGAACCGGAATTGTCTTTTGGAGGTGGACCTCTTGTAGGACAGGCTTCCCCTGCTAGGTAAATCTTCTGGGAACCCTTCAGCATCAGTGTACCATCTAGTGTTGTTGTAAAAGGCTGTGCTTGGCTTCAGTGATTTTTTTTTTTTTTTTTGGCAATTCGTTGAAGTGTTTGCCCATTTCAGGATGGATGATTTACGGGCACACATGCCTACACTGTGCAGAGAGAGTATTCAGCAGTTTTGAACCACGGGAGGGCCGGTGAGCTCTGTTCTCCTTTCTCTTGGCCTCAGCCAGGCACTGGACCTACCCTCCCTCTTTGGCCTCAGCATGGCCCCCTGCCCCAATCTTGTCCCAGGTGACTTTGTTTCTGCTTCCCCAGATGAAAAAGACCTCAAGGGGAAATGTTGTACTGATGTAAAAGAGGCAAAACAACAAATGGCAGAAGCACTAAAAGGCATCAAAACTGATGAGTTCATAAACTGTTTTGAGCAGCAGAAAAAGCATCTCAATAGGTGTATTGCATCACATGAAGAGTACTTTAAAGATGACTGAAGTGCCGGGCTCGGTGGCTCAGCCTATAATCCCGTGCCTTTGGGAGGCTGTGGTGAGTGGATTGCCTGAGCCCGCGGGTTCAAGACCTGACTGGGCAGGCGAGACCTCATCTCTACAATAAAATCAAAAAATTAGCTGGATGTGGTAGCGCAAGCCTGTAATTCTGGCTACTCAGAAGGCTGAGGCGGAAAGATCGCCGGAGCCCAGCAGGTCGAGGCTGCGGTGGCTGGGAGCAGCCACTGTACTCCGGTCTGGGCAACAGAGTGAGACTCCAACTCAAAAAAATAAATAAATAAATAAATTCTGGTTTGGGGAGTCCCCCCTCATGCTTTGCTCTGCACTTTCTATATATTTGCCAAACACACACTGACTCATGGGTTATCTTAAGTCCAAAAAGTGCATTCTAGGTCCTTGCTGAACTGTCTGCCATACCTGGGTGATTCAGAACCAGACCAAATGCACTCATTTTTTTTTCCAATAAATATTTTAGTGAGACCTACTGTGGAACAGGTGCTCACCTAGATGCTGGAGATAAAACCGTGGAGAAAAAAACCTTTCCCCCAGGGCTCACATTCTAGTGGGAGAGATAAAATTCAAAGCCCTTCCCCTCTACCCAAGGAAGAAAAGGAAAAGGAAGGAAATAGGGTTGCCTAGCAACACATTCATTCATTTAGTATTTAATGAGGACCAGCTCTGTACCCAGCTTTTCATTTATTCCTCACACATTCCTATGGGTGATAACGATTTCCCTATTTTGCAAATAAGGAAACTGATGTCATCACATTGCTGGAGATTGGGGGAGCTGGGATTTGAACCCAAGGCAGTCCAAGTCCCCAAGCACAGCTCTTCACCACTGCCTCTTTGACTCTGCCTGTACATTACTTTGGAATTCAGGGAAAGGCCCCCCAAACGCAGCCTATCTCAACGGCCTTCCCCTTAACAGGGCTGGCACATCCTTTGTCAGGTCTCCCGGAGTGTGGCCTGGAAGCATCTGATCCAGAACCACCAAGGAGCCTGGTGAACACAGACACTCTCGACCTCTCCAGGGACAAGGTCTGGATGAAGGAACCTGCAGGTGGGACAGATGCTCTCAGGCAACAGAAATGAGCATGAGGGTTGAGAACCACATCTTTATGAGTCGGCGTCCAGGATCATCAGCCAAGAGGAAGACTAGGACATAAATTAGAAAACAGGAAGCTGGGCAGGCACGGTGGCTCAAGCCTGTAATCCCAGCACTTCGGGAGACCAAGGTGAGAGGAGAGGATTGCCTGAGGCCAGGGGTTTGAAACCAGTCTGGGGCAACTTGGTGAGACCTCATCTCTACAATGAACCAAAAAATTAGGTGTGGTGGCACGTGCCTGTGGTTCCAGCTACTTGGAGGGCTGAGGTGGAAGGCTCAACTGAGCTCAGCAGATTGAGGCTGCAATGGCCGTGAGCATGCCACTGCACTCCATCCCGGGCGACAGAGTGAGACTCCAAAAAAAGGACAGCTCCGTTTGGGCAGTGCTTTTTCATAGGACCACCAGCAGGGGGCTGTGGTGAGCTCAGCTGGAGCCTTGGATTCCGCTGTCAGCCAATGGACGATCAGAACTCTAGCAGTGCCTCCTAATCCAGACAGCAGCATGGGATGAACAGGAGTTTAAAGTAGAGTCCAGGGCCCCCATTCATTCAGTAACTAAGGACTGAGCACCTACGAGGCACCAGTCACCCTCCTAGGCACTTGGAATAAACAAGTGAACAAAAAAGACAAAAAATCATGCCCCTATGAAGTCAAATAATGCATCCATCTATCCATCCACCCACCCAGTCATCCATCCATTCATTCACCTTCCCATCCATCCATCCATTCATCCATCCAGCCACCCAGTCATCCAGCCATCCATCCATCCAGCCAGCCAGCCACCCACCCACCC